AATCACGTGGCGTTTTCTCAACGAGATGAATCTTGGTGATTACCGGAAAAATACCAAGTTTATTCGAAGTGGCGAAATGTTAACAAAGTGGTGACGGAGTTTAACGATGTGTATTCGAGTGTGAAAAAGGAAATGACAAAGTGGTGTAAACAACGAAACCATTTTGCAAAAAGCTCTTGAAATGTACCGGAATCAAAAAGGGATGTCATTCAAATTTCTACATGTTTGGAGCATTGTAAAATTATCAAAAAAATGGCAAGATGTCGGCTCTTCCGAAACTTTTACGAGTGGTTCTGAAACGTCCCAAAAATATGATCCAAAAATTTCATTTTTAATTTAAATAAACGATATTCCCAAAAACATTATCCATACAACCCAAAAGAAAATAAGTATATCATCATCATAACAATCAGAGTAATATCTCAAAAGCAGAATCCATATGGTGTGTGCGATGCAGTCATCCCGAGCTCTTCCCCTTGGAACCAGAAGTACCTGAAACATAAACTGAAAACCGTATGCACAAAACTTAGTGAGTTTCCCCAAACTACCCTATACCATACATAATAAATCACATACTGGGCCCCCGCCCTACATCGGGCTTCGCCCGACATCGGGCTTCCCCCGACATCGGGCCCTGACTGGCATCGAGCCCCACTCGGCTTATAGATCTGTTATTCTCAGGCCTCGCCCACTATGCACGTACAATATATATATATATATATATATATATATATATATATATATATATATATATATATATATCACATAATCATGCTAACACATATAATGATCATAAAACAATAGCATATGTTCCAGTCATCAGGCCTCGCCCGACATCGAGCCTCGCCCGGTATACATAGCAACACATAACACATGCATGGGTCACACAGACTCCTAGCATCCTAGCATAATCAATAAGGGCCGACATTGGTGCCTTAGACCCGCTAAACCCAGTGTGGAAACTCACCTCAACTACTGAATCTCACTACAAAACCCTAGCTGTTGTCCTGACGAATCCCCGAGCTATCAATACAAAATAGCACCCAATAAATACTTGGGTTCCAATCCATAACCATAAGTCCAACAATCCATACTTAGGGTAAAAGGACCATTTTACCCCTCACCTAGTTTGGCACAAGGATAAGGCCCAAACTTAATGTCTAAAACGCCCAAATCCAAATAATCAACCAAAGCCCACTTATGGCCCAATTTTCCAAATTGGGCCCAAACCCCTTTATGGGCCTTACCCTCAAGCCCAATAAATTTTCCTAGTCCAAACTCTTAGCCTAAAAGCTTGATTCCAGGTGGCCCACTAAGGCCCAAAGCAACAAAGTCCAAAGAAATGACCCAACCGAGGCCCAAAAGCTGTGAAGCCCAACAAACTGAGTACGCTGGGCGTACTCAGTTGTACGCTAAGCTCTTAATGCTTAAGTCCAAAGGTCCAAACCACAGATCTGAGCCCAACAAGTGTCTAGAACCATAAAGTCACTGACTTGGTGACTTTGCATTCCCCAAAAGGTCCCAACTTCGAAATTTAGCATTCTACTTCCATTAAATGAACTCAAACTCATGCATGGGGGATTCTAAGCCCTAAAGGTGTCAACTTTATGAATCTAGGACCATATAAACACCAAGAGTGGCAACTCTAAGCTCGTGGAGTGGTATCAAACCACTAGATCTTATCCATGGGACCAAGAAGGTGCTAAAATTTAAACAAGGAAGCTCTAAGCTTCTAAAGAACAAGATAAAAGCTTTATACCTCAAACAAGCTAGAAATGGAGCAGATAATCCAGATCCACAAGCTCTTCCTTGATCCACCACCTTGCACCAATCTTCTACTTCTTGAAAATGGATCAAAATACACCAAAATGGACACTATAAGCTCAAAATGCAAGAAAGAGGCTTAGGGTTTCGAGTATAGGGCTAGGAGGATAGAGGTGACTGAGAAATGAGGGTTTCATGGTACATAATGATGTTTATATAGTGTCTAACCCCGAGAATTAGGGTTTCTAAATGACCCACGTACGCCCCGCGTACATACACGTACACCAAGTGTACGTGCCCGGAGTCCCGATCCCGCCTCGCATGGGTACGCTAAGCGTACCATGTGGTACGCCCTACATACTCGCTTTACAGCTTGTACGCCAAGTGTACCATGTGGTACGCCCCGCGTACAACACAAGGACTAAAATGGACTAATTAAATTATACAAGGGCAAAAGAGAAACTTACCAGGATTCAAGTGTTACAGGTTCTTCAAAAAAGAACCAAAACATCTGAAACGATACATAGTCAATCGTCTAATGCACATATTGGGATTGACCTCAATGAAGAGGAGCCTATTAAGGTTCCAAGAGCCACTCGTCTCATGGGAAGAGACCGAGCCAAGCGAAAGGGAAAAGCGGCGACAACTAGTTCCGGCGACATCGATCAACTAACAACAAAAATGGACAATTGAAGTCGTCCTTGGAGCAATACTTGGAACTTGCACAAGAGAAAGAAAAAAACCCATGTCATGTCCATCGTAACGAGACCCACAATCGAGTTATCCAGACGCGAACGGGAAATGGCGATAAAAGTCAAAGAGGAGCTTGCAAAAAAAATATAACATCTAGCTTTCGCTTTTTTAATTTTCATGGTTTTGTTTTTTGTTTTTTTTTTGTTTTTTTTTTTACATTTCTAGGTTTGTAATTTGAATTTCCATGTTTTTTTAGTGTGTTGTATTTTTATTTTATGTTGAATGAAATTTAAGTTTAAAAAAAATATGTTTGAATATTTATTTCTATATTAATTAAAAAAAAATAGCATGACAAGTGTGGCAACCCGTGCCATTCAAATGACAAGTTTTGGCTAACGTGTGACAAATCTGACGTGACGCTTACGTGGACCGTGACAAATGTAACACCATACCCACTAGCCTTAGGTGGTAATGGTAGCTTACAGGGAGTGGCACATCATCATCCCTCGACATAGATGAGGTGGGTCGGCATACACCGCCTCTTAGGTAAAACAAGTTCAATGTTTGAATGTATAAAAAAATACTATTAGCTAAATAAGAATACAAAATAAAATATAAATAAAATATGTTGTCATTATCACTTATTAACCCTGGTTATAAAAGGTTTATAAGATTTTGATTGTCGTATCTGTGCAATTTATGTAACAGTTAAATTAAAAAATTAAACTTCTTATATTTTGTTTGTTAATATATAATATTAAATATTATTAGTCTCTATTAATAATTTTAATAATTTTTTTTAATTGAGTGAGTTGAGTGGGTTCAAAAAGATAAGATTTCCGTGTGTTGTGGGTTCGAAAAGATGAAGAAAAATAAAAGAGAAAAAGTGATGTGGCAATGGGTTCGGTGGGTTGGGAGGGAACGACTCCCTTCTCTCTTATATACATCGTGCACAAACTAATAAAACTTGTTAATGATAGCAACAAAATCATGTAGATGATGCTACAACTTCTTATATACATCGTGCACAAACTAATAAAACTTGTTAATGACCGAGGTGATATATATATCTTGTTTCTTAGGTTTTTTCCTTATTGTAGGTGTTTGGTGATGAGATAACAAAATAATTTGTTGTAGCTTATAAATTAGTTTTTTGATAAATAAACTAGGGAAGAGGCTGTGCGTTGCACATGTTGGATTTTTTTTAAATGTTTGGAGGAAAAATTAGTTTTCAAGTTCAACATATTTATAGCACTGCCACAAGAATAATTATATATCAAAAAGTGTTACTAAGCCTCATAAATCCCCAAAGTACTCCAACATGTGCTTCATATATGAATATTGGTTTGAAACAAAGTATTTGTCAACAACATTTATGAATGATAGATTCGTTAACTTTTGCATGAAATTAAATGAAAAGATCGAGCTATATCTTTCTAGCAACCATAGACTGGTATTTTTCCCTTTAGCTTCTCAATTATCTGCATTTAGGAAATTTGCAATATAAAAGGGATGTTAACTTCTTATTATTATTATTTATACTTGTATGTATGAGGGTCATAAAACTAATTTTTGAAATCATAACTTAAAAAGTATGTACAGTTTTTCAGTCGCTTCAGCCACCAGCACAAGATTGCTTTGGTCCTTGGCCCTCTTTATGAGATTACAAAACCCAATCTAAATAGTGGAATCAAAATCAATTTTTATTTCCTTTTTATATTTTTTATATATTATTAACAAAAGTTAAAAAAAAAAATACCCATACCATTGATCCTACAAGGTTGTAGTTGATTGGTATAATGGAATCACAATCAACACATGATGAAAAGAAGTTGATGGAAAGCAATGAATCTGAGAGGTCATGTGAAGTGGTAGTGCCATTTGTAATTAACATGAGAGATAAAGAACCGATATCTTCATTCTTCACCTTTGATATTGATGATAAAAATTTCTATCTGAAAATCTTCATTGTCATTAAAAATAGAAGCTGTTAAAGCATCTATCTGTGCAAGACTTTCTAAGTTTAATAAATGCATTAGATTTAAAAGAGCCCTTAACTGATCTGTTACTGTTGTAGATTGAGGAAGTAAGTTATTAAGTGATTCCAATGTTGAAAATGGTTCGACATTCTATTTGCAACCACAGACAAAATTAGGGAACTGGGGTAATTCCGTAATGCAGTAATTTTAAACATGAAAGGTTAAAATAAAATTTACACACCTCTTAATGTGGTTTTTCAAACGAAGATTGCCAATTATCATTGATATTTCCAGAAATTTGGTTGACACAAAAAGGTTGTTCATCAGTTCTTTACCACAACTCGGGTGCATGTACAAAACTCAGGAACAATTTCGTCCAAAATTAAGCATCTACAACATCAACCGGAAATTTTGTCCATAATTGTCATCACAAACCAAAGAAGAGGCATGAACTAAAGGCAAAAACCAGAAAAATAACTCCTAAACTCAAACTTACCAAAAATCCATTATTTAAAAACCTCAATTGCAAAGAAATGGAAGCCAAAATATACCTACTCTCAGTCTTCACCTACCCATTCCAAAAACTGCACCCAAACCCAACATTAAGCCTCAAAAGGTTTTATAAAAAAAATCTATAAAAAACCAGAAAACCACATCAAAAATAAATAAATTTGAAAATAACCAAGTTATACAATCATTTATAGTTAGAAAGATTTGTGTAGATCAGTACCTTCTTCTTCACTTGTGCGTGTTCTTGAAGCAAAGTGAGTGGATTTGTAGAGACTGCAGTTGAAGATCCTATACCAGTCTACCTTCCTCAACATCCGACTGTATATACCTTTTTTTACTGCAAAAGATACAACCAAACAAACATGGAGTAAGACTTATAAAGTGGTTCACAATTTAAGCGCTTGCAAAACATAAATAAATCATGAAGAATTTCAAGAGTTACTGAAGCAATATCACCATAAAATATGGATTTTTTGGTTTAAAAATCATGACTGGAAAGTTCAAAAACCCGACACGAAATCTGGAATATTAGAAAAATATAGAAAAGATTGATAAATTTCTATTTCCATAAGCTTTTTTGTTCCATTTGGATACATTTCAACAACATATAGTTCGCTTTCTTCCCCATATTCATCTAACTGTAGTTGGAAATAGACTTTATGGCTACATTAACATATGTGCATACATCCCTAAATAATAGAATAAAAAAAAAGATAATTCTCTCCTATTCTTCCTATGCCATCCACAGATGCACAAAAAAATAGAAACATAAGCCAATAGTCAACATATCTTTTTAACTCGATTAAAACTTCTAAACCGCAACTCATTTCAAGAAAAAGAAAGAATAAAATTATGTTGTAGTTTATCTGTAGCCTACCTGATAAAACAAATAAAATGTACTTCAGCAACCCTGTCCATCTAGCATAATAAACTGGACCTGAAAAATTCATATATGTATCATCCATCAATGTCATGAATGGCTAATTGCAGAAAAAAGTAGAGGCAAAAATGAATTTGAAATAACATCATAATCATTATATATAACTACACATATCTTTTTTACTGATTTGAAAACTTCATAAGTCTAAATACAAATAGCAACTAATACACATACATATCCACCCATACACAAATAAACATGTATATACACCTATACAGATACACAACATTATCAAAATCGATAATAGAAATACAACATTATCAACGACACTGGGTTGCAGAGAGTGTAATTTACCTCTCAGATTCGATAATAGAAACACATTCAATGGTTCACCCAAATGCCAGTGAAGTTGAATGATCTAACATTATCAAAATCGATAGTCGAATGTGAATTTGGATTGAGAGAGTCGACGACCTTCACCATATCTTTATTTTCTGATTTATTGAGAGCGAGATGAAGGCAGCCTCGATCTCCCTTCTCTCTCTTCCTGGGCGATATTTGTTTTCTTTCCATTCTCAGTTTAGCCCTAGCAAACACACACAAATGACATGAGAAGATAAATCGTCACTGAATTTTTGAAGCAATCGAGTTTGGAAGACAGATAGATAGAATTAGAAACAATCAAATCATACCTCACGATTGAAGACCTGAGCAGCGAAATTGAACAACAATGAATGGAATATAGAAGAGTGACTTTTAGGGGTTCAATTATAGATACGAAGCGAGGATCAGGGCATTAAATCAATTCAACATACACTTCAAAACAATCGTGTAGCGATGGATGGAATGACCATCTATGAAGTCGGTGGCGAGCAAGTGGAGAATGTGTGGAAGTACGATAACATCGGTGGAAGCATCGAGAGAAAGATAGATAAGAAGCCGATAATCAGATAAAAAAAAAAGTACGATAACGACGGTGGAAAAACGGAGTCTCTGGTGGGAATTAGAGGATTGTGGGTGCAAAAGAGATTAGCCGCTGAAGAAAGCGGTGAAGGAAACGTGGAAGGATAAGGAGCGGAGTAGGTGGGAATCACAAGAACATAACACGAAGCACCGAGTTTTGTTTATTGAGGAGGTGGATCAATCTGGCGGTGGATTATAGAACAAGAATAATCGAGAAGACGATCAATGAGCCAACCGAGTTATGATTCGAGTTCTGAGTCAGTTCTGAGTTATGAACAGTACCTACTCGGGTACTGTTCATAAGGAACAAACTTTTAATATATATATAAATATAAATAGAGATAACTTATTAATAAAATAATTTATCACTTGTAAGCTAAAAACTAACATGCTAAACAAAACCTTAGTTTCGTGTACATCACCTGAAACTTGTTTGTAAACTTTTAGTTCAACGAATTGCAATTGAGAATTTTAAAGGCTATAGTGTATTCAATTTTTTAGTGATATATATATATATATATATATATATATATATAATATATATATATATATATATATATATATATAATATATATATATATATATATTGTTGAGATCGGTTGAGAACTCAAAGTTTCCCGAGAACCCGAGAACTAAAAGTGGAGCGTTGGATCAAAAGTAATTCGTTAAGGACATGATCGTAATCTTACCAATCTCATTTAATGTTTAATTTTTTTGTGTTATTTAATATATTAATATAAATGTCTAAAAATTTACATCATAAATCAAAATTTCAGATTTTTTTAAAAATAGTATTTTTCCTTTTTTTTAAATGCAGATTTTTTAATTTTTCATAGAAAACATGTATTTTTGAAAAAAAAAATTGAAAAAAATATTTTTTTTAAAAAACTGATTTTTTTTTTCAAAAAAACTGCAATTTTTTTTAAAGAAAACTGCATTTTTTTCAAAAAAAAAACTGCAATTTTTTAAAAGAAAACTGCAATTTTTTTTTTAAAAAAAACTGCAAGTTTTTTAAAGAAAATTACATTTTTTCAAAAGAAACTGCATTAAAAAAAACTGCATTTAAAAAAAAGATAAAGTTTTAGGTGCATATATGCATATTTTTTCAAATGCATATATTCATATTTTTTATACTATAATATTCGTAAGAAAATCATAAAAAAAACTCATTTTATTTACCAATCTATAAACACAATAGAATAAGTATTTTATTCGATACAAAAAATATTAAAAACAAAAAAATGTACAACATTTCAAAGCGTTTTTATGTCTTCGTGTCAATATTTCCATATTTTTCTTCAATTTATCATTTTCACCTCTTCAATATTGACCACAATTTCTTCCAAATCTACAAGAAAAAAAAATGATTGATGCAAAAACACACACAAAAATACATATGTGATTAACATATGAATCACAGGCGATTCACGTATGAATTACATGTGATGTATATGTGAATTACATGTGAATCTCATGTAATTCATATGCGAATTACATGTGAATCACATGTAATTCATATGTGAATTATATGTGAATCACATGTGATTTACATGTGAATCACATGTAATTCATATGTGAATTACATGTGAATCAAATGTAATTCATATGTAAATTACATATAATTCATATGTGAATTACATGTGATTTATATGTGAATCACATGATTAAAACTAGGTAATTTTGTGAACTTTTATTGAAACTAGGGAAAAGCTTACTTTACAGCCTGATTTGGTGTATCCAGTTTTTAGGTTCATGATTTGCAATGTTCATGCTCAAATTCATTCCATCTTGTGGTAATACACTCATTCCAGGTGAATCTTCCGCCATTGCCCTTGAAAACACATTAGATAAAAACACTAGTTGTTTCGAGTTATTCAGATTCAATCTAAAAAGAGTTAGTACTTTAACAAATCTAAGTTCTTCACAATATCTCATAGAATTTACAAGCACATTAGTCAATCATAGAAACTAATTGAATAGATCATACCAAATGGAATGGATAGAGAGTATAACCATAGCTACTTAAAATTGACATATTACATACCACAACACAGTCAAGTCAAGCTCCTCCATCTGTCCATAAAGCCAATGAAGAAACAATAAGATGCTGTTTTTTTACTAAATATAAATCTCAATGGAAAACAAAAAGAGATGCATACCCTGAAGACTCATCAAATACATAATCGTTTTCTGTAGATCCAATACTTGCAAGTGAAAACAGAATTGAGGGGCAATAACGTGGGAGAAAACATACCTTGTTAGAATCAAACCATTTGAAAATCCCTTTCAAGAAGTCAACATCTTCACTCTTCAATTCAACACTCTACAATAACACAAAGCAGTAATTGTTCATACGGGAATTCTAAGTTAACTAATTAATTTTTTTAATTTAGCCAATAATTTCCAGCTATAAGTCTGTTGTTCTTGTGTACTGTATGATTTGTATCTCATGTCTTTAAATTTTGTGCTAAGTCCTATAAGTTTCCTGTTCCGGCTTTGTGATTAATTCATATATAATTTTATATGATGATAGGGCGAGGATACTGCATGGGTTGATGTGGAGCTCAGTTGCCCAAATCCATCTGAGAATGACTGGGTTGGAGTTTTTTCACCTGCAAATTTCAAGTAATGTTCTTATGTTACACACCTGCATATTATCTTGCAGCATTTGCATCTTCATATAAAAAAATAATAATTATATTAACCATGTGAATATGTCAGTGCATCAGATTATAAACATAATCGTTTTCTATAGATTCAATATATTTCAGAGAGCTACGAATGAAATGACAGTTGTGCAAATTAATAGCTTATTTTGTTAAGTATGAGTATCATAGTGTTTCACCATCAGATCAAATACAACCACCATTTATTATAAATTCAGTGAGTATACCAGATGATTTCATCATCTCAAAAAAGAATCATTGATTAAAAATGTATATGAAATTGCAATATAAAGCCACAGATCTCCTCAATTCAGGTTAACGTAATTAGAATTCATTGAATCTTTGTCCTTAAGGCAATAAGTTTGTGCAAATTCTGGTTTCTCATATTCATATTTGATTTGATTCGACAAAACTTATGTTTATTCAAGGTCATTACAATTTCAAATCAATGATTCGGTTCCTATTTTCCTTTAAACTCAAATTCATCAAAAAAAAACACATCATCAACATATTTCAACGATCAGATTAACCGTTAACAATTTAAAGAAGTTCGTTCTCATTCTAAAAAGAAACAGGTAGTGACAAGTAACATGAATGACATGCATACATCTAGCGATCTGAAGAAGGAATCGAACTGTTTTTTAATTTACATCTTTGAAAAATACTTTTAGTGGACAGGGGAGAACGAAGACTTACGCGTGAATTAGATCAGGATCTATGGAACGATGTCGATCTGTTGATTTATGTATTCGTTGTCGATGATTAGAGACTGACAATTATGGATTAGAAGTCGTTGTTGGTCATCTGATTGGAAAATCATCCGGAAATAGAAGCGATAGTTTCATAGCCAGCAATGTCCGTTGTCAGAGGAAAGACTTGTCGTAACAATGGAAATATCGGTTCGTTGAAGGTGGTGAAGGAGATTCGAGCATATACTAGATATGTTGATCTGTGGAACGACGCCGATTTGTTGATTCACTGATTAGTTATCGATGATTTGAAGATTAGGTATTGTGGATTGGAAGACGCCGTAACTCAGAACAAATTCCACATCACAACCATCCGACTTTCTTTTTCTTCATCTTCGTTCACATGTTGATCGGAAAATCTGCAACAATGGCAATCGATAGAGGCAGGAGGAACCGAGGAAGGCGATGAATATGTGAGGCGTAGATATTTGGGGGTGACATAGAATTTATGTGCGTGAGAGAGATAAATTTAGATAATCAGTATTTTATTCCAAATATATTTTACCCAGATTACCCTCACATCCTTCAATTTTAAACACAAAAACCCATCAGATTTGAGTGTATTTACATATTATGCCACAAATCATCTAAGCCGTCCAAATAATTGATCCAACGTTCCACTTTTAGTTCTCGGGTTCTCGGGAAATTATGAGTTCTCAAATGATCCTCTCTCTCTCTCTCTCTCTCTCTCTCTCTATATATATATATATATATATATATATATATATATATATATATATATATATATATATATATATATATATATATATATAATATAGAGAGAGAGAGAGAGAGAGAGTTAGGTTCTATAGAAAACAAAAAAACCCTAAAAATCATAAAAAATACATAAAAATACATAAAAAAATACTTAGAGATCACAAAATTTTTTTTTAATAAATAATCGCAGCTTTTTCTTAAAATTCGCTGAAAAAAAATCAATTTTTTTTTGTAAGTTTTTTTTTTCTCAAATTTTTTTTCAGCGAATTTGTATAGAAAGCTGCGATTTTTTCAAAAAAACAATTAATTTTTTTTTGTGATCTCTAAGTATTTTTTTTATGTATTTTTAGGGTTTTTTTTTTCCAAATAACCCTTCCCTATATATATATATATATGATATATATATATATATATATATATATATATATATATATATATATATATATATCTATTACCCCTCAAAAACAGAAAGTGGGAAGACATCAACAAAAATACTTTCTTTTTTAAACTACCATTCAGATGCTTATATAATTACATAGATGCATATATTTTTATTCCTTTTTAGATGTCATAATGTTGGAATATTTTTATTGATATATAATTGAGGGGTAATATATATATATATATATATATATTATATATATATATATATAATATATATATATATATATATATATAATATTATATATATTACCCCTCAAAAACAGAAAGTGGGAAGACATCAACAAAAATACTTTCTTTTTTAAACTACCATTCAAGATGCTTATATAATTACATAGATGCATATATTTTTATTCCTTTTTAGATGTCATAATGTTGGAATATTTTTATTGATCGGGTTTGAGGACCATCTTTTTAATAATTATTTTAATGTTGTTATACATATGTGATATTAGGTTAGTAATTATGTCAATATGGCATAAACGGTACCTCATTTTTTTCTTAATATTACTTGATGAAAGTAATATATATATATATATATATATATATATATCTATATATATCTATATATATATATATATATATATGCGCGCGGTATGTAAAGTTTATCTTTAATATCTCTTAGGACGGAATGAGTGTTTCTCTTCCAATCCACTGTCAGCTTCATATCAGTTTTTCTTTTTTTTCATCCCACAACACATGCAAATTGTATATTTTTCAACCTACTCAATTAAAAACATACAAAACAACATATGGTACAAGTAAAGAAACACAATGTACTGTTAGAATCTTGGGTGTTTCAACTGCTTCGGATTTACTGAGAGTCGTGATACATTTTCATATTAAAATATTTTGATGGTACAATCGAAATTCAACCGGATAAAACTTAATGGTTTTTGAACAAAGAATGTGGAATTTATGATTCTATGTGTACCAAAAAACGAATAACCAGCAAATCGGGAAAATAACCCCCTTTGTTGAAATTAGCCAAAACTATTATATAGCAGTTACAAAACCACTTCATAACTGCTATAAATTTGGGTCTAAATACAAGGTAAAAAACTGGGTTGATACTATGTAGTTAACGGTGAGCAGAAACCGAACTGAAACTATAAAAAAACCGAAAAAACCGTATAAACTAAAACCAATAAATCGAAACCACAATGAAAACCAATGGTGAGGTTTTCTTGTTTTTAAAAACCTCAAACTTACGGTGCGGTGCGGTGCGATTTTAGTTTTAAAAAACCGCAAAAAAACGAAACGCACCACATATATTATCCACACCTAAAATCGAAGAAATAACCGCGCCTCACGTTTTTATATACAATTTTTTATTAATTATTAATATATTAAATATTAAAAAATAAAATATAAAAGAAGTGAAAGTTTCGAGCCTTTGAGCGGAACTTCTCAATTCATTGTTTTCTTCATGTTTAACTTTTTTCCCTAGTCACCTTCACACTCCTATTGAACGCTGAACTGAAGCATCGAATTCTGACCTACAACAACCGCACCATCTCTGGCTACGAGTCTGCGACACCATTTTTTACGTCCACACTCACTTCTATGCCTTTGGCTCTCACGTCTCATCCTCTTCGGCTACAATGCACACGTTTCCGCCTCCGACTCTCATAAACTATGACTCTAGCTCTCACATCTCTAGCTCCGACACTTCTCTAGCGGCTACTCTGTTAAATGTAAGTTCCAATTTCAGATGATACTTCTGCCATTAAAGTTCCTATATTCAGTTGATATTGTAGAATTCATGATTTCAGATGATACACTTAGTCTCTTGTAGCCACTGTAAAGCTCATATTGTTCATTTGTTTGTCTTTGATGGATTCATAGAATGTGTGTGGTGTAACTCCATTTATACCATGGCAACTTAGAATATGTGTAGTTTATATTATAGAGTTCTTGTCTACTGATGTATATGTCAAGTTGTCAACTATTTTTGCTACATGGCCATTAATTTATCTCTTTGAAGTTTATTTGCTTTGTGGTAGTTTATCTGTAACAGATCAGATGCAATGTCATTGTTTGTGTTTCTTTTTTCTCTTTGTAGTCTGCTGATATACATGTCACTACTTGTGTTTATTTGTTTAACTTGTGTTTATTTGGTAAAAAGGTATTAGCTTGTGGTAGTAGAAAGAATTGTACTTGCTCATTACTCAATCATCTTACCAATGCATGTAAGACCTCACACTCTATAAAAAATTGATTTAAAGAAACAAACGACTTTAAGCTTTAAGCTGAAAGGTACAAAGGTGAATAGGTCTTTGGCTAAGCATTCCTTTATCCAAGAGAGGTGTAGATTATTTAACGTCCACAGATTCGGCCTAGTCAATTAAAATAGAATAAGCAATAAAAATGATTTTTTGATAGAAGATTATTTATGATAAATAATCTTAATCAAAGTTATATTATATGTGACAAGGATTTTGTACATATAAAGAACTCTGAAATCCGACTTTGTATGAAGAAGTTATGCTTCTTCGAAGTTTCGCGATTAAACCGACATGATTATGCGTGTCATAAAAAGTGAATTATAGATAGGTTACTTATAAGCCTAATTAATCTAAATGAAAGTCATAGTAATCATAAAACCGAGAGCGAACATATAGAGAAGGTCTAAATCTGACTTCGTATGAGGAAGTTATGATTTTTTCGAAGTTTCAGCGCAACAGTGCAGATACAGAAATCGAAATTCAAATCGGTTGATTGTTAACCGAAACAATCTAAAAAATAATTGAAGGTCTCATGAATATGAGCATGTCGATATAAAGACAGTCGATAACAGATTTCGTATGATGGAGATATGAATTTCACACGGACTTTAACAGTCAAAACCGATATAAATATCGATTTTTGTTAGAGCAAGAATTAGCTATTATTAAGACCTTAATGAAAGTTGTAGAACTCGTCGAGAGGATTCCGAGGATATAAAGATCGTCAAAAACGAAGCTTGTATGCAAAAGTTATGGTCGTCCAAAGATATGAGAAAATTTACATGCGATGATGACGTGGCAACACCGGAGTGCGCCACGTGGCCTGGTCGGAGAGCCGAATCGTTTGGGAGAGATGGTGACGTGACA